CCACTTCTCTGTCTCTGGATTTCAAGGTCTTCTCAATTTCAGGACTTACAAAATCTCTGAATTGGAGGGCCATTCATGGAATAAACATTCACTAAGCACTCTCTGTATGCCAGGTTCTGGGCAGGCTGCCCAGAAACAGGTGACTCCGGTCACATGTGAGTGCCCCTCACAGATTTTTGGGCCAGGCAGTTTCTCGGGCACTTTTCTAACCCAAGGGTCAGTCACCTCACTCTAATGGCAGATGATGCGATGTTCAGAAGATCCTTTACCCTTGTTGGGTTCACACTTACCAGTGCTACTCTGGCTGTGTGGAGTCTGGAATGAAACTGAGTGAGGCCCATCAGTCACACACCCAGGGGACCGCCCAGGGCAGCCAGCTAAGTCAGACCTCAGCTCTTCCGCCCTTGTGCAGCGAGGCTGACGTGGAAGCTGGGGAGAGCTCTTGGATCCGACACTCTGATCCAACTTGAGGCCCATTAAGTTACCACTGACGGGACACAGGGTGTGTAAGTCATGACGTCCAGGACACGGCTGACATAGGTGTACCACAGGGCCAACAGACAGAGGGGGTCAGGCTTGGGTACTGACCCTTGGGGGGGGGGTATGCTGTAGGGCCTCCTCCCAGATGAGGCAAGGGGGTAGGCAGCACCAAGGGAAGGGAAGCTGCTGTCAATGGCTTGAAGGCCTGGGGGCACAGGGCAGCATAGAGACAGGGTGGGGCAGATGTGGGGCACACTGGCATGTGGACTGGAAGACCTTCTCCCCAACACTGCCCAGACTTCCTGAGGAATGGGCTCATTGGGCACAAGGGGCTGCTGTGCAGACAGCACAGGAAGTCATCTCCTGGCAAAGGACAATGAGCCTGGCCCTTCCGGTCCATGTCCATGCAAGGAGTGGGCTGGCTGGCTAACGTGCTGAGGCTCAGGCCTAGCCCACAGAGAACTCAGAGCTCAGAGTGGGGTCTTTACTAGCGAAGACACAGCTGCTTGTCCCCTGCATCCTGAGGGTTCAATCAGGCAGCCTGGGGATGACCTTCAGGGTTTCCTGACCCCCGCTCTCCATATACATAGAACCTGGGTACCAGTTTTATAGATGTGCTTGCCAGGTGACTGGGTCTCACCTCTCACCTTCTGGCCATAGCACCCCACCCCACATGTGCGTCTACCTCTCCATGGCACCCCATCGTGGCAGCGGGACCTGGCATTTCCTACCCCTGGTCACTCCTTCCAGCCCCCTCACAAGAAGACTACTTGTGAGACTTGCCTCCACTACAATGGACTTTGCTCATGGAGACTGGTGGCTGGACCTAGGGTGTGCATTTTTCCTATGCCTCCTCTATTGACCTTTAATTACACTGCTTGCCCAGCTCCCCACACCATTAACCTCCTCCTCACAGCAACCACACATCAATTAATGGAGGGCCTGCTCCCAGCTCAAGCTCCTGAACACAATTAAGCGTGACAGTCCACAAATAAGAAAGAACTAGAGAATTAATTAAGGTCTAAACAAATTAATTACCAGTCCCCAATCGATTCTGATGCCAGCACACATGCTTCTGGGCTCACTGTCTTTTCCTAACATTGCCACATATAAATAGAAACTGAGATTTCCCACATGATTGCTGCTCTAGACCGGGGCACAGCAAGGCCTGGAACCACCTTGAGGGAGAGAAGTGTTTGCGTGAGTGTCCTCGGGGCTCCCATTTACTCAGTGCACATGCGTGCGTGCTCATCGGTCATGCACATGCCCACATCAGCCATGATTGAAAAGCCAGCGTGGACCTGGAGGCAGAGAACTCTTCAAGGGACACTGGATAGCCAAATAGCCACGGCCACCTCTTGACCTCAGCTCTTGTTTTTAGACTGCAGGGGTGAGGGGTCATCCGGGAGTGCTGAAGTAGCTGAGGACAGTGGCCAGAAGGTTTGGGTTTGACCAGCTCAGGATAAATAAATAAACCTGAATTTATTCATTCTTCTGTAAAAATGGGCTTTTGCTCTGCCTTGAGGTCTTCTCAGAGAGACTGAGAATCGAGGAAGAGCAGCTGGGGGGAAAGTGGAGAGTGTGGCTCTTCTGGGAGTACCCAGCTCTGAAAACCCAGCAGAGGTCCGCAGGGACTGTCACAGAGGTCCCAGCCAGAAGAGCTAGTGGCCAGAGAAGGGCGGGAGGGGTAGAGTCAGGCCTGGGAAGGGGAGTCCTGTGCCTGGAGCCTCGGGTCTCTCTCTAGGGCATACTTCAGGCTGGAGCAGGAGTCCCGGCAGGCACTAGGCAGAACACAGGGAAGAAGCAGCTGACTCCTGGAAGCCTCCTTGTTTCTCAGAGACTGCGTTCCCAGCCTGCTCAGTTGGGAGGGGGTGGGGACTGTCTGCGAAGACTCATTTTGGTGTACACACACACACACACACACACACACCAGGATTTATTCCTATTACTCCCCATCCCTCCTCCCCTTCTGTGTGCACTTATGGCCCAGCAAGTCCTGTCTCCCCATTAGGCCAGGAGAGCAAAGGGGCAAAGGAACCTCTACAGGGGAAGCAAGTTCTGAGTAATCTTCATGGTGACCTTCATGGCGGCCTGGCCCAGTTTGGCCAAGCTGACAGTACAAACAGGAGTGGAGAAGCCTAGGAGAATCTAGGCTGAGAGCATGCAAAGATGCTCTGGTGCCTGGGGACAAGGTGGAGGAAGGCCCAGCACAGGGACTGCACAGTGGCCTGAAAGGACTAGGAGCTTTTGAAGGTTAGGGGCGTGACTAGCCATCTGGTATACTACTGTGTCTGTGTTGACTAGAGGAGTTAGCAAGTACCCACTTACAGGTGAGCGGGATGGATACTGGGAGCTAGAGAGATGGAAGCCAGCAGGAAAGGCTGGGGCCAGGGCAGTGAGGTTGAGGAAACAGCCTGCTTCTCTCAGGATCCTGGCCAGAGACTATGAGGGCTGCAGACTACACTGTGTGTCACTCTGCTGCTGGCCAGGATACTTGGGATCCCGAGCCCCCTCAAAGGTGCTAGACCAACGCAAGCAAACTGCAGGAGCCTCCCAACAAGGAGCCAGAAGAGGAATCAGACAGGAGCTCAAAAAGGGATGAGTGGGGGAATCAGAAAGTCTCAGGTGGGGGTGCAGAAAGGATCAAATTCAAAAGCCGTGACCCTTGTCGTGGAGCCCCAGAGAGGTCACGACCACCCCCAAGGTCGTACAGCAAGATGGCTGGCAAAGCAGGGCTGGAATGGGCCCCTGGCAAGGTCCTTATCTAAAGCTTGGCTCAAGGACAGATAACATCTTGTGGGGCCCCAGATCCAGTCCAGTGCAGCTGAGAGCTGCACTGACCCTTCTCAAGCTGCATCTGACCCTCCAGCCCAGAATGGCAAGGAACGCAAGATCGGCAGCTGAGATGGCTCAATTAGGCCCCTTAACAAAGTCAGATCTAAGAGTTATTCCATTAATGGTCCACACCAGAAATAGCTGAGAGTTCATTAACAGTGTGGAGTTGCTATAGCAATGATCTGGGTTGGCTGAGGCGCAGCCAGGTGGTTGGTCTGGAGAGTTCATTAGCCTCTGGGCCACGGAGGAGGTGGGGCTGCGTGTACCACTCTCCCACTTTCTCACAGGGCTTTTCAGGTACTTCAAAGCACTTTCCTAGCAGTGGAATCTTGTCTGTGGTCTCATTTGGTCTTCCCATAGCTCAGAGATATAGCGAGGTAGATACTGGCCCATTTTACAGGTGGGTAAGCTAAGTCCTAGATGTGAGGAATGGGGCTGGGAGCATGAGCCTGGCTCTGATTCTGGCTCTTCAGACTGATCCTTGATCCAAGGGAGGTCAAGGTTCCTGGTGTTGCACCCTCCTGAGCTGGCCCTCATCTTAGTTTTCTGGCATCCCACAGAGAAGGGGAGTCAGTCAGGGTCATGGCTCACGCACTTGCTTATCCTTCATATTTGACCCCAGTCACATGCTGCCTTGTGCTTCACTCAGTGTGGCTTTTATCTTTTCCATGTTTTAAACAATAACACTGGCTTCTGTTATATAGGTTTCTGGAGCCCTACATGTCAGCATCTGTACACACTGCCTTAGTTCACCACCAGAAGTCTAGTTTCCATCCATCACCATATCTGTTGAATATTTAAAAACTTTCTACTGTGGTGCTCTCTCTCCAAACAAGGTGGAGGCTTCCAGAGAACCAGGCTGGGCTTTGTGGGGTTTGTAGGGCTCAGCCCTGGGCCTCTGTTGTCAGCACAGAGACTCTGAGACCAGCAGACTTGCTGAAGGAAGGTGAAACCTCCTCTACACACGTGCGCACCCACGATACCTGAGCAGAGTTGGAGAGCACCTAAAGGCCCCAAACATTGAGCAGTAGGTGAGCAGGGTCTTAGCACCTTCTTTTGCACCAGAAAGCTCTCTAACAGTCTGCACCCCTTGCCGGTAATATTTCTAAATGTGCAAGATAACACATAGGATGCCACAAGAACTCCATTGAAATAAGTTATCCAGACAGTTTTTTAATTGACATATAGCAGTGGATATGTGTTTTAATGAATGGATTGAGATCTACCAGAGGATCTCAATTAAATATCAAAATTTTGAATTCGTGTTGAACATAAACCATTTTAAGAACTGTAACGTGACATGAACATGCCTCTGATTTCCACTGGCGACAAGGTCACAGGTCCTTCTTGTTACTGTGGTGCACTGTGGACATTCTGGAGATGCTGAACTGCAGCTCAAGGTCATAAACACTCCCCAGCCAAGTTCACAATCCATGGCATTCTGTCTGCGGACCCTCTGGAGGTTTGAGGGCCCCAGGGACAAGCTCCAGTGCCAAAAGTGGAATCACGGGCAGAAGCTGGTGGGCAAGGCCCTGCCACTCTTTGCTCCAGTGGGGCCAGCCAGGAGCCCCCCTGCACCCCGGCATCAGGAAAGGCGGGGGGCAGTCAGCTCCTGAGAGTTCCACAGCCTTGCATGCCCACACCCGGTCCACATGCACAGATGCTAGGCACAGCGCCAGTCTTACCTACAGCGGGGAATGGCACAAATCTCTGGACCAGAAGGCGGGTGGCCGGGGTGAACTTGTTGGCTTTCTGAACCAGGACATTAAGGCCCACCTTGGAAAGAGAAAACAAAAGATCAAGGTGCTGCAGCTGCCTAGGGAGGAGCACAGCGTTTGGGGCACTGCGGCCGTGCCAGACCCCAAGTCTTCAACGTCCCCTGATGCTGCAGAGTTGCAGTGTGGCTATGTATCGCACCATCATCCAGGCATCCCAGTCATTTGGGCTGTCAGAAAGAGGGAAGGGGAAAAGCATCGACTTCGCGTGCACGCGCGCGCACACACACACACACACACACACACACACACACACGGCCTCCTAGGGAGGAGGGATGCTTGGTGGGGTAATTGCTGTTAGAAGAATATATAATCTGTAAATAAATGAGGTGTAAGAACCCCTCATTCCGGCCCTCCCTGGTGGCACAGCAGGTTAAAGCACTGCACTGAGAATCTAAAGCCACTTCCGCATGAGTTCGATTCCCGCCTGCCCCGGAGGTGACCACATGGTGTGGCAGACCTCTCCTGACCCGCCCGCTGCTCCCCTCAGCAGTGTACTTCATTGATCTGCCTGTTCTGCTCCCCACTCTGTCCCTGGTGAATCCTCTCACCTCCGCATCTCTGGCCTGTGCCCCAGTTCTGTATGAATAAATAAATCTTTAAAAAAAAAAAAAGAACCCCTCATTCCTACCCCAAACTCCAAGCACCACCTTTCTGAGGCCCCACAGAGGGCCCAACCAGGAGGGTTCAGGAGCGGGAGATGTGCACACCTGCCCACAGAAAGGGGGTGCAGTAGACATCCTGGGCTCACTGTCTATATCCCCTCAGACCCCGACTCCTCTCACTGGGCCCAGGACACATCCCCCTGCCCCAGTCCTTTGGCTTGTACCCTCCCCTCCCCATCCCCCTTGCTACCCTTTGTTCTAGAACACAGGCCCCATCACACCAGCAGTTCCCCAAAAAGTTACACTGTCCATGCAGCGGTCTTGGCCACCTGCACTTCTCTCCCCGCCCCCTCACACCCACTCTCCCTCCGAGAGCCAGAGTTCATTAGGCTGCTCTGTGAACTTTGGCCTAGGGGCCTAGACTGTGCTGTCAGAACGCCCTCCTTCTCCACTCGGTCCACACCAGGTCCTCAGCCCACCTCTGAGACCCACCACCAGGTCACTTGTTGACAGGGGAGTCATCGAACCATTCTCTGCCTCAGTCTCCTTGTCTGTGGACAAGATAGTAACTAACACCTCCAGCAGCCAGGGCTGTTACAGGGTGTATGGCTCATGTCTGACTGAGTGTGCACAACAGGCCTCAATAATACAGCTGTATAAGAACAGGTGTCCTCTCCCGGGCCAGAAGCGGTTCCCTTGCACATGACCGGCCACCCGGCTCCCAGCACCCAGGACCTGCTCCTGACCTGATGCCCCTGTGGGCTAGGAAGTGGACATGTGACTTTTACATCTTTGTGTGCCCAGTACTTAGGGCTGTGAGAGGTACACAGTACACACTCGATAAACCATGGCTGAGGAAAAGCCACAGAATCCAACAAAGAAATGAATGGCCGGATGGAACAGCGAAGGCTGGGAGAGGGTGTCTTGGAAGAGGAGAAAGTGGGACTAGGCTAAGCAGGGAAAGAGGGCCTTTTGGTGGGGAAACATCATGGGCACAGGCTTGGAGAGAGAAAAAGCAAGCTGCAGATGGCCAATGAAAAAACCAGGTCAAGGCCAAGTGTGTAGGAGCCTCTGTTCCCCCAAACAGAGGTGAGACAGTCCTGCCTGTGGATCTCTCCTGGCCCAGGGCAGCACAGTCCAGGCCCCTGGGCCTGCGCCAGCACCTAGTGGCTCAGAGGCTGCCCTGCACCTACAGCCGTGGCTCTGTTCTCACCTTCTGGTTGTTGGGGTGCAGAGTTTAGGGGAGGTCTCGGGGGCTGCTGGGTGCTTGCAGCAGTCACAACGGAGCACAGCCTGGCACAAATGGCTCTGAGATCGGAAAGGCAGGAAATGCCACCCGAGCCTCTGCAGAATGCCCACTGGGCCCAGCGTGCTGCACAACTTTAAGGCACCCAGCCCCCACTTGAAGCCTTAAGCTGATGCTCAAGGGTTTGATCTCTGCCCTCTCTGCTTGCCCAGTAGAAGGCTGGCAAGCAGGGAGATGTGTGGCAACGTGGACATTCAGGAGCCCTGGTGGGTCAGGCTGGGGGTTGCCAGCCCACACTGGGTCCTGCTGTCCATCCTTCAAGGCTGCCTCTGCGATGCAGATGGCACATATCAGGTCCAGGTCACCCCAACTCTCAGGAGCAAGTTGGCTGTCACAAATGGTTCTCTCAACCATTACACTTCTCCCCTGGCACAACACACCAGAGAACATATCCCTACGGCGTGTACAGAGTGCAGAGGAGAAGGGTAGAGAGTCCAGAAGTCATAGTCCAACATTCGTGAGGAAGAAGAGGGAAGGGGCCTGGGGAGAAGACAGCAGGCACCTGCTAAGTGCCAAGCCCTGAGCTGAACACAACACATGGAACCCTCCTTAAAAGGGCTTTAGATAAAACAAGATTCTGAGAAGTTCAGAGAGGTCAAGTAACTTGCCTAAGGACACACAGCTATTAAGGGCAGTTAAAGCTCAGACTTGACCACATCTGCTAATCCCAAAGCTTTGCCCTTAAAGGCTGTGTATTATTTGCTTTCTAATTGTCTTCCATCTCTGAGAAAAATGTTGTAATGTTTGACATGCTATTTGAAACTGGCTGTTTGCATAGTAAAGCCTCCCTGAAAGGCCAGCTCAGGCTGGGCCCAGAGGAGTGGAAAACCTGTAAGGGAAGGGGAGGGTGGGGCCCTTGACTCGCCCTTGTCCTCGCTGCTAACTCAGAGCTGTGTCCAAAAGCCCCACTCTCGTTTGGAAAGATTCAGAAAGTTCCAGAGGAGTAGGAAGCAGGAACTTTCCTGGAATCCAATCCCCTGAGCTAGCACCCAGCCCTCTTACCCCTTCAAGCCCGCCCCCCTGACCCCAAGCTTTGGGGCACAGGGCTATGTGGAGGGAGGCAAGGAGGAACAGCGGCCAAACACTTGTATTTGACCCCAGCCCACAGCCTGGCCTCTGGCAAGGACCAGCACAGTCCAGAGTGAGTGACCCAGCCTATCTCCCCAACTCCGAGGGTAGCCTAGGCTGGGGAGAAGGGAGAAGATGCCCTCACCATGAGTGATTCAGGGAGGCATACACACATTTCTGAGAGCATGGCCAACACACAGGTTCCCAGGGAGAGGCAGGAGCGCAGCAGAGAAGGGAGGAGGCCCGGGCACGTGTGTGCCACAGCTCAGACCCGGCGAGGTGCCCCACCCCTGCCCTAATGACGAGATGGTGGCAGGAATGATGAGTGGGTGGCAGGAAGGTGTCAGTACAGGAGAGGCGAGTAGCCACTCACCCCGCTGCCCCCACCGTTCCCAACCCAGGTCTTCCTGTGGTGGCAGCTAGCATGGCCACCACCTGGGAAGGAGCCCAGGGCGGGCTGCAGACCAGGGCCGGGAGCCCGTCTGTTCTGGTTCCACAGGGACCCTTTGGCCTAAACATTTGGTGAAGCCCATTAAAATTAAAAAGCCAAGTGGCTGGTGGCTCTGAACGCCAGCTCGTTTTCCCTGGCATGGTGGGTCCTGTTTAAGAGAACCAGCTGGCATTAATGGCACACAACTCATCACGAACAGCAGCTAGCGATCAGAAAAATCTGAGCTAATAATCAGATTTGGGAAAGATAATGAGATATGGAACAATTGCTGCTGATGTCCCCCAGGGTCTGTTTTAACAGCCTCCAAATAAGTCACAAAGTAGAAATTAACCAAACAGGGGCTCCATTTTGGTGGAGGGGAAAACAAACAGGGTGTGGATTTTGCACAAGAATTCCTTGTCTGGCAGCAGACGGGATCCTGAGAGAAGCCAGAGCCCAGAGCCAGAGGGACATCATCAGCGACACAAGGAGGCAGTGACCTTCTCTGGCCACTTCTCTCCAAACTCCGGCTTCCAGCGCAGGCTGCTGACCAGACTCAGAGGAAGAGGAAGGAAGACCGGCTTCCTGGCAACCCCCAGAGGGGGCCACGCTGACCAGCATGGACAGCTGTGGTGGCAGTGGGCGCTCTCTGACCCAAGACCCGCAGCCGGCCAAGTATGAGGGTGACAGTGTGCCCTGGCCAGGCGGAGTCCACAGCTCCAGCCGTACAGTGCCCTGGAGGCTGCTCTACTTTGCCGGACGCTGGACACTCCACCTTCATACACCGCAAGCCAAAGTCTGTGTTGCCCTCACCAACACCCGGGACTCCTCTCCTGCTCCCAGCAACAATAGTCAGGCCAGAAGCCCAAGGTGTTCCCACACAGGAGCCTCTGCACCCCTCGGCCACAGCTGTGGTTCTCTCTCCTGGGGGTCTTGAACGCAGTGCCCCTCTTCCTGCTGCCACCAAGGAGCCTGCAAGCCCATCGTTCTCTCTGGACCAGCGCCCACCTCCTAACTCAGCTCTGTCTTCCCGTGCTTGCTCCTCTCCCACCACTCTACTCGGCAGCCAGAGCAAACTTCTAAAAATGGACAGCAACTTACGGAAAGCCTTATGCCGGCTTCTCACTGCACTTTAAGACCCTCACAGCCCGATGGTCACCGGCCCTGAGTGATCTTGGGTCTTGGTCACAGGCTCTGGATCCCTCGGGATCACACTGCCCCTCTGAGGGGCCCTGCTCGCCGCCCTCCACCCACGGCTCCACCTCTCCCTCCTCCGGGCATTCAAGAGGGGTCTGCACGCAGGACTCCCCTTTACACCCTCCAACAGAGCCTGAGACTCTTTCTTGCCTGTACCTTCACAGGTATATATGTTGATGTGCCTGCGTAAAATGTTGGGAAGCAAAATAATACATGTACATGGTGAAAAACTGAATCACACAGTTACTTTTCTGTGTGGATTTTAAGTATCTACTTCTCCCAGTCTGCCCCAAGCAATGGGTCAGGGCCGTTGCTCTTCACTGACTTCCTGATGCCTAGTGAAACGAGTAGGTGCTGAATAAATGTTTCTGTAATAAATCAAGTGAATGACTTCT